CATCTTCATCCACAATGACAATACCATGTTCAGCTTCTGGTTTCACATCATCCTAACATATCAGTTTTGGATGTAATACAGTGGAAAGGTAGAAAATGAGAAAAGAATAAACCATGGGGAGGAAATTCGGGTTTAAACATGGGCGCTTCTGGTATAACAGTGTTCCACAACATCTACAGATTACAAACAAACATTAAAGCCACCATTAATGGAAAAACTGCTATTTATTTTGCTTTTTGAATGAAGAATTTGCTTTTCTTTGTAGCTCAAGTTTATAATTTAACTATAGTAATGAGCTGAGAAAATTTAATTTTCTTAAATGCAGCATGTTGATTCTTTTCAGGAATTGTTCTCCCTATATATGTGTGTGCAAATTGGCTGAGAATACTGTGAGTGTGACCATAGAAACCATAAAGAAAGAACTTGTGGAAAATGGAGAGCAGACCTCAACCATCTTATTCTGCTTTTTCAAAAACGTTATGATCAAAGAACCGATCATGGGTGCTTCAAGTATCCTCACAAACAACTTCAATGTCAACCCCACCAAATGAGGAGTTGCAAAGCAATGACACACGAAACAAACAAAACAAGTCAATTTTCAAGTCAACTTTGAGGGTGCAAAAGTCTTTAGGGCAATTGTTGTATCACGATCACACTTTCTACGTGCTATCCAAAAGCTGATATTTTAGTCAAATTAAAGACATAACAACATGAAACATGTGACATGTCAAACCCAAAGACCGGAACAAGTCAGACATAAATATCATTTTGTAAGTTAGAGTTAACTTTAAGTCTTGAATTCAACCGTTAAAAAAATTAATTTTTTAAAATATAACATGTTAATATAAAGATTTTTTTTTTTAATTATTAGAGATGCAACTCGAATTTTACATCTATCAAATCTCGCATAAGAAGTTTTTTACAATAAAGAAATGATCATTAAATTTCGCATGAAAAGTCTTTTATAATGAAAAAATGATCACTAAATTATAAGAACATTCTCTAATGTAAAGATACCTTTAGAATCATTTTGAGAGGAATTAATCATGTGCAAAAGCTAACTCAAGAACCATAAATTAAAAAAATAATAAAAAATAAAAAGAACATGTGACTTGCCATGAGGAATCTAAAAAACTTGTGTGACGTTTCATGGAAAACCACAAAATAGATGTAGACTTGAAACCTTTGATGTGTCAAGTTTCCATAATTCACTTGGTATCCCCGTTGCACTTAAAGGATTTTTCTAGAAGGCCAGGGCAGAGACGCACCTTGGGCCACTTCCTGCAAGTATTTAATGGAAGACCAGTCGACTTGTTCTGCCGGTAACATCACCATCTTTTCCCCCATATTTCAAAATGATTCTGAAACTGTAGAATTAAGCGGTTAAAGTCAGTAGAAAATAAATGGCGACTTTATATGCCTATAATTGGGAGAAAACGAGCCTTGTAAATTTCACTGGTATTTGGCTGTTTTATCGTCAGTCATTTTTGGAGGTTCTGAAGAATCCATATAGTTTGGAGGTTCTGAAGAATCCATATAGTAAAATTCGAAACGGGAAAGGCATTGAGCAAAAAACATATGTTTCTTACTAGCTAGGCTTGTTAGCTTAGTTGTAAAGTGCTAGTTTTTGGAGTATTCCCATTCCTCCACAATCCACCCACAATTTTATTTTATTTTATTTTTATTTTTTTAGTTACTATTACGTCCCCAAGGAGCCTTGAGGAGGAGGATCTTGAGACCTGGTGCAAACTACACGAAGGAACAAACTAATTAATTTAGCCTTAAATAATTTTTATTTCGCGAAAAAAAATTGGAGAGAGAGGAGAGAAACTTCTGTTATTTAATTTTTTTACTTTTATTTTCCTTTTTATTTTAATGTGTATCTTATTGAGAGAAGAAAAAGGGAGGAATTGGCTTTAGGCCCTCTTTTTTCTTCAATAAAAAATTAACAGTAAAATAGAAAACAAGATAATTAATTAAAATTGAGTTTATTTGGCTAACGCTCTGAATAAATTAATAGTAATTTCCTTTTAATCAAATTAAATAATCTTAAATTTAAATTAATGACATCCAAGTAAGATGTTTTAAGGGATGAATAAGATTGTTTATGATTATACAACCTAATTTATTTATTTTTAAAAAAATTAGAATCCTTCTGTTTTAAGAGAAGAGGAGGTGAGGGAATATGTTTGGACCAATCAAATTAAAACATTAGGCTTTAAAAATTGAAAATTGAAATTGGCTTTTACTTTGAAATATAAGAATATATACTTCTAAACGTTGTTCTGATTATTTCAACGCAACAAATTAAAGTTCCTCTCTAAATGAAATTAGGAAATTTGCAGCAGTATCAACTAGGAAGTCCCTCATTATAATTCATAATCAAAGGGTTGAAACACTTGAGCCAAAGCAACCCAAAAGCCATCAAAGTTGCTACATATATAATTATTGCAGAATCTGCTAGTCTTAGGTTGATCATTGATAGATTAGCTTTGCTTTCAAGGATCGAATGCTGTTCAAACTAGAGGCTTGGGTCCACTTTTTTGTCTTTGTATACCTAGGTCCTTGATAAAATTAAATCAAGAGAAACTACCAAGTACCAATCATAAGTTTGATTGGTTAGTTTCTTAGTAGATATCCCATAACTTGAGAATTTACTAAATTAAAATTTAAAAAATTAATAACTTAAAAAAATTTCAACTTTGATTATTAATTTAAAATTTTCGCACTTAACAAGTTGTTGATTTCTGTCTTTGATCATCAATTTTGACCATTCAAACTTTGAAAATAAAAATAAAAAACCAACCAAAAAAAAGTAGACATTTTGAGATGTAAAGACTAAGATTGGGACATTGTTTGAATTACTTGATCTATCATTTAAGTATTATCATAGTAAGGTATTG